AGCCCATCGCATTCTACGTTACATAAAACAAAAAGCATGACAATGAATTTTCCTCTCAGCAGAAAGCTCAACCCAACTAAATGCCTTTTGTGATGCAGATTGGGCTAGGTGTCGTGACACTCGAAGATCAGTTACTGGGTATTGTATCTTCCTTGGTAGTTCATTAATTTCTTAGAAAACCAAGAAACAAACCACAGTATCACACTCTAGTGCAGAAGCTGAATATCGGTCCATGGCCACTACTTGCTGTGAGATTATTTGGCTAAGAACAATTCTGCAAGATTTGGGGATCATGCATTCACATCCTGCCAATTTATTTTTTTATAACCAAGCAGCACTTCACATTGCCTCGAACCCGGTATACCATGAGCGAACAAAGCACATTGAGATTGATTGTCATCTCATACGGGAGAAAGTTCAAAAAGGAATAATAAAGTTGACTCATGTGTCTACTTTAGAACAACCAGCAGACGTTTTCACAAAACCACTAAACTCTTCTCAGTTCTCGATACTACTCAGCAAGTTAGAAATTATTAACATACATTCCAAACTTGAGGGGGAGTGTTAGGAGTTATGATAGGAAATAATTTATTCTTATAAATAAATTATTTCCTTAGAATTAGAGTTATGATAGCTTAGAATTAATGAAATATTTATTTTCCTATTTTACGTTATTTCCTATATCTCCTAATAATTAATATGAATTAATTATTAGATATATTAAGTTTTATACCCTTCTTTTCATATCATTTACCTTTTATTATTTTTTCTTTTACAAGATTATTGTAAGAGTTATTTATAATCCAGTTCATATTAGTGAAAAAGTGTGTATTCCACCACATTATTCTGAGTTTTAACAGTTGCTTATCCTACCAATAAACGTACAGAAATGTTTTACTTACTTGCAACATGCGTAACCAAATATATGACAATATAGTCCAGCTTACTCTACTTAGTTACAATTGCTTATCATGCGCAGAGAGTTTCCTGTGTACACACACAAATTTTGGAGATAGTCAACATTGGCAATGGATCTGTAACTGCTCTTATCTTCTACAAGGGCTACTTGTATTCAGGTTTCTCCGATGGTTCAATTAAGGTCAGTTTTACAGGAAAATAATCATTTCAACGTGACATGAAGATGAAATATAGCAAGTTATTTCTGATATATATATATATGATTTAACAGGTACCCTACAACAGTATAACAGATTTAGGGCAAAACATCGCCTTATATTTAGTTTATCATCTCTAGAAAGCAACAAAATTGAGAGGTGTATTTGCACATGCTCTTCTAATGCATGAAGTGTATTTAGATAGTTGACTTAAGCGTTGAAGACTCTTTTACCTTGTTGGAGCATAGAGTGGTTCATAAATAGAGGAATAAGTTATTGCAGCTCTATATATTTAAAAAAAAGGAAAAAAAAAACAAAACAAAACTTAACGTACACAAATTGCAGCGGTTCAAACTAAGATCAAAATAGCAAACAACTAGCAAATTACAGAATCTTTTATAATATATATTGTTAATCCATTTTCATTTAATTTTAGCATTTTATACGTCCATGTAGGTTTGGGACATCAAGGAGCAGCTGTCTGTGCTTCTGTGTGAGGTCAAAATGCACAAAAGGTCTGTTACTTGTTTCAGCATATATGAACCAGCTGACAGCCTTTTAAGTGGATCTGTTGATAAAACTGTCCGGGTAATTAATTAGAACGTACAACTTATGAAGCGAATTTTAGCAAGGAAAAACACAAATGCAAATAACAAACACATTTCGTGATGTTTGGTTTACAGGTTTGGAAAATTATACGGAATAGGTTGGAATGTGTTGAAGTAATACAAGTAATGGAACCAGTTCAACATGTGGGTGCTTGCAATGAAAATATCCTCATAGTCTCACAAAGCCGTGGTCTCAAGGTGGTATGGCTTTCATTTTTAATTTGAGTACCTTAGCCCATAACTATATGATGGAAATTTGTGACAAGAACTCAGTCAGTGCAGAGCTAAACTAGCCTATGCCTCCTATTTCCCTTTGCTCACCAGACTTTTTAGAACAATATGAAATAATACGCCATCACTACAACATATTATCAGCTTTTATCAGTACAATTGAGATTTGTTGCCAGACTGTGTTTGTTATAGGGGAGAAGCCTGTTTTTCTCAGGTGTGCCATGCATCAAGGAGCATCCAAACAGTCTGCAAGAATAAACATGTCACCTCACTTGCTGTATTTCAACGGAAGGTCTACTTGGGCTGTACAGATTCAAGCATGCAGGTAGATTGTAGTCCAGGAATAAAGCATTAAAATACATGATAATGCTATTTGATAGTCTCAACATAAAACTGAAGTCTTCCCAGGAAATAGACATAGAGGAAGAAAACGAGGTTGAGATCAGAGCCCCTACAACGAGCTGGAAAAAGCAAAGGACACCCATCCATGCAATTTGTGTTTACAAAGACTGGGTTTACTGTGCGGGTGCTTCAATTGAAGGATCAAATGCAAAGGTAGATAAATCTGTCTACATACTGGCAGATATACAATGGTTTTCATTTGATTTGAGAATAATTTTAGGATTGGAGAAGGCGCAGACAGCCTCTGATCTCAATCAAAATGTCAAGGCGAAATATTGTGCAGGCAATGACAGTGGCTGAAGATTTTCTTTATTTGAATCGCAGCTCATCTCCAAGTACAGTTCAGGTAATCTATTTACACTACCATTACAATTGTCCCCCGCCCCTTGAATTCATATTTTTGCTTATATATGGAAAGGCAATTTAGTCTTTTGCCCTATTAAAATATCAGCTTTTCCATTCCCAAAATATCATTTTGTCCTTTGTTGTCCTAGTCCCTCTCACATTGGATCTAGGGGCCCCACCAATAAAGAGACAGGTTCCGCCCCCCGAATGCTCAATTGTTTATGGTTTAACAGATCTTATTGAGAGAAAAGCGGCAGAGTGTAGGTAGATTATCAGCAGGCAGCAAGGTTACCAGTCTCCTTACAGCAAATGATATTATCTTATGTGGAACAGAAGCTGGACTGATCAAGGTAGAATTAAATCCTTTAGTATCACTATCATAATAGTCTTTTTTCAATGATTATTACTGAATGCTGTTTGAACATGTTCATAACAGGGTTGGATTCCTCTCTAACAGGCAAATGAACCAATCCATAACCCGTGCTGTTAAATAAGCAGGCATGAACATGTAGTTGACAAAAGAAATAATCATTTTTAAATTATCCACGAATTTTGCTACTCGGACCTCAAGTCCTAACGGCTATCTATATAAAACCGTTATATGTTGGAGTGGGAAAGATAAGTTCGAATTGCGTTCAACTTAAAGCAAACGTATCATCCAGTGATCCTGGAATAAAAATGTATACAAAATTAGTTCGGATTTCGATAGTATTAATACTGAAGTGTGCAAGTTTAGTAACCTGTTTGAAATGTTGGCATAGAATTGATCGTTAGTGTAAAAGGAAACATACGAAAACTGGACAAATGCAAGCAATATCTTTATATATATATATTTTTTGGTATGGCTTCAATATTTCATTAAAAACAACATAGCCATGCACAATCAGTTCAATTCCAATGAAATTCTTTTCAATCGCCTTATCCAACGGGCACAATGGCTTTGAAACATAAGCTTACAATAAACATACAACCAATACATAAACTTAAGCAAACCTAACCATGAATACAAAAATTAAGGATGTAACTTAGATGCTATTTAGTTCAATGTGAACTGCTATTCTAATGTTATTTTAGTAGAACAAATTATAATTATTTCTTGATATCTTAAATAAGATATATCTTACATATGATAATGTTCCCTATGCCATTAAAACCCTCAAATTTTGAGGCCCCTCTCGAGGAAAAAATATTGAGTCCAGAGTCCGGACGCAAGCTACGTCCGAACAACGGACGGACGCGATACAGTGGGGGATGTTTTTTCTTTTCCTCCTCTGTTCCGTCCGGTGTATCACGTCCATTGTACGGACGTAGGTTTGCACCCGGATTCAATGTTATTTTTTTCCCGTCGAACAATCAGATTGTTGAAAATATATTTTTGGTCAATTAGGAAAGCTTCCCTAGTTAATAAGCGGGCATTCCTGGCTGGCCAATGAACACCAAAATCTTTCCCGGTAAATGGACTTTGGGCGACGTGATGGCCCAAGATGAAACCCCCGCACTGGCACTAGCAAAGATGAGCAAATATACCCTAGTATAAAGAGCATTATTCTCTTAAAATAATATTTATCCTATTTTGCAGACTTCTAAATGTCATTCGAACAAGAAAAAATCATATTAGGCTGTATGAACATTGAATCAAACACAGAATATGTATAAATAATGTCTATCAAAACACAATTGAATGATAATATTGACATTGTTATAGTAACTAAGTATATCAAAATAGCAATGATACATGTATAACGAATAATATTGATTGTAATAACAAGCCCTTAGTGTAAAAAATAAAGGAAACTCAAACCATGATTACCAATAAATGACCTAGTTGGACGCATAATGAATTTTGGTTGCTAAAGGAATAAGAAATCCAAGAAAATGAAGTGCTAAATATGGTAAAAATATGAAAATAAGAGAAAAAAACCAGTTTTCAAAGTGGTACGCGAACAAAATTTTTATTAAAAAAACTTCAAATACACTGCACAGCGCGACCGCTTCATCTATCTCGTTGTTATTTTATTTTAGATGTTTTATGTGCACCTGTGATGATTTTTCAACTTTGTTTTTTTTCTATATTTTTGCATTCACATGCTCAAATAGGCTCTTAGAATAAAAAAGAATTTTACTATTAAAATCTAATAAATTATAGGCACAACTCACAAAATTTTTATAATAACTTTTTTCCTATGCATGTCTTGTTGTTTCATATGCATGTCTTGTTGCCAAATTCACAAAAATTAAAAATTTTAAATATTTACTTCCACTTATGACTATGTGTATATATGTTGTAAATTGTTCATGTAACCATTATAAGAGAAAATACTTCCTAGTAAGTAGTCGGGGCAATTAAATACTTATTTCATAGCTAACTCTTGCAGAATTAGTAGAATCTTTATATTTGATAATAGATAATAATTACACCTTATGGTGTCCTATAAAAAGTATGCATGCTTCTCTCCATTTAACTATCCAAATAAGTTATACTTGCTTAGGTTATTTTCTAGAATGCTTAGGGCATTTATTAGTGATTCTATCTTAGATAGGATTATAAGTCCATGTTGGGTAGCTACAACACTTGTGATTGAACTACTTTTTTTATTTCTTCATTTAGGCATCTTGTGCCTCTCATAATAAGAGTAAGTCCCTTTCAATCTTTATTCTACCAAGATAGAGTCTTAAGATTATAGTTTAGTTTTCTTCTTTGGGTTGGGGGTCTATAAAGTTTCATTAGATAATGCAACTCATGTGTTGCTGATAGAGAACTTTAGTCTATATTTGATCAACTACTTTTATGACAAAATAAATCCCGAGTTTGATGACTCGGGATGATGGGTCTGTGGAATCTTGATTTTCATGTTCACGAGATTAGAAACGCTTTACCTATTCTTTCATAATTCTCCCAAACTCTACCATTTCTTTGATGTATCACTTGATGTCTATTTATTGGCTTTTTCTACTGCTAGGCCACCACCCATTGAGATATGATTCTTTTCTATAAACACAAGAAACATATTTTTAATAGTTAGTTTGTAGTTTTCTTGTGTAACCACCTAATATGCAATTAACTGAAGGGAACATATTCCTTTGAGATTTCTATGACACCATGAATAGTTTTAAATTAGAATTCTCTAGTTATAGCTATTGAAGAATATTATCTATAAGTCTTCTTCAAAAATGGTATGAAACAAGTTAGTCGAATTATTTTTCAGACTTGCATTTCCAATACACCTTATGAAGACTACTCTATGAATATCCATCTACCTTTTAATTTTTATTATTATAATTTTTTTCTTATTTAATTTCCTCTCCCTCATTCTTCTTTTTCTTAAATTAGCGAGGATACTATTGACAGAGAAAATATAAATGATAATATGAATATAATAAAAAACACCTTAAATAAATTAGAATCCATTAGAGAAAAAATCTCTGTATTTTAGAAAGGACACTCGTGTTTTTTTTTTCTCTTACTCATGTGGGTATTCTTCTTCAACCAATCTAATTAATATAATCTTTAATATAAATTTTAATTCTTTTCTTTTTTGTTGTCTTGGTCACTATGATTTGTATATTGATGCGATTTTGTACCTTATGCCTTTTGAATTTTACTTGATGCAATTTTCATTTTTTTTATTGGTTTAATTATATCTTTAAACTTGAATTACATTTTATTTTATGAAAATTCGACACTAGTCTTTTCTTGTTTTAGGTTGGCACTTCTCAAATGAGGGTTTAAGTGACCTGATATATATCACTTTAATTACTTAAATTTTTTTTATTTTTTAAATATAATTATATTGATAGTTGTATTTAAAAGATAAAATTTTTAAATAAATCATTATGCTTTTTTTAGATCATAAGTAAGGTTAATCCTTTTTAAAATTAAAAAAAAATATTTTCTTTTGTATAATTACTTGTATATGTATCTCCAAATAATATTTTAAAATTAAAATATTATATTTATGAACCTTAGCATACTTAGATCCTTAGGATTGGACAAAATTTGGTGATCATATAAAATTCATATCAACAACACCTTGGTCACACTCAGTTGCACACACTTTTTTGTTGTGATAGGACATGTCCATAGATATTTGCTTAGCTTAGGGTAGGGTGTAGTTAAAGTTTTTCATATATGTGGCTATTATTTTTGTGATTGTTTGTTTAGCTGGATGTTTTATGTTTGTTTTATTATTGTTCATACAAGATTTTAAAATATGTATTATGATAAGATATATGCAATCTTTTTATGGAGTTGTGTTCAGTAGATAATATCCTTAAAATAAGTATTATGTTGATATTATTTACAATTTCTTACTAAATAATTCATATATTGAACACAACTTATTTCTCATTTACATGATTTGTATACCTTCTTACTAATATTTATTTCATATGTTAAAGTGCGTGTAATCCAATTTATTTTAATATGCATTTTTAGAACCTTAGATTAGGTCTATACTAGAATAAGGAACAAATATGTGTTTCTTGAAGTTTGAGACTGGAACATTTCATGGATGAGGAGAATGACCTGACTTCTCATGTCTTATATCTTAAGTCCATAATATATTTTTTTTCTAAACTTACAATCGAGTTATATATGTGGACTCTAACTATTTCTTTTGTCTTTTTTGGATTTCTTGCCAACCCAATGGTACCTAGTCTTTTTATTATTCTTTTATTATGTATGTGCACCTTTTTTATGCACACATGTGATGATTTCTCTTTTTTATTATTAAGTTTTGTGCTCTGGACAAACTTGATTAGGTTCTTAAAATAAAAATGAAATTTATATCTAAAATCTAATAAATTGTCCAAAAAAAATTAAATTCTACACTCAACTCATAAAATTTAAATAATAAAATATTTTTTTCTTATGCATGACTTATGGCCATATTTGTACAAATAAAAAATTTAAAATTTTAAAATATTTAGTGCCACTTCCGATTGTGAGACTATAGGTGAAAATTTTTATTTCATGTACCTGTCATAACAGAGAGTTTTTTTTAGCATTGATCATTCAGAGTTTGTGAATACTCATATCATTTTCTGACCAATGCATAATTAATAGAATCTCCATATTAGGGATTAGATAACTTTAGCAGCATATCATGCCATTTGAGAAATGTATGTGCTTCTCTCTTTCTGCCATACCATATAATTTATACAAGTTTACATGGTTGTTTAGAAGGATTATGACATTTAGTGGTGATCCTGAACTAGAGGCGACACATTTAGTGGTGATCCTGAACTAGAGAGGATTGTAACTCAATGTTGGGTTGCTTCAAACCTTGTGATTGGACTACTTTTCTTTCTACTGCTATAGGCATCTTTTCACTCTCGTAGTAAGAGTAAGCCCTATTTTATTTATATTCTACTTGGATATTGACTTAGGATTTTAGGTTGGTTTCTTTCTCTAGCTTAGAGTCTATAAAGTCTCTCTAGATGCTGAAAAAACTTCAATCTATATATTTGATTCGACTTTTTTCATAGATAAAAAGTTTTTGAATCTGATGACTTAAGAAGAAAAATCATAGTCTTTACTTATGATGTCTACCAATCTAAAACTCCTTATTTATCATTTGATGTCCCTCTTGAGCCCTATCATTTTTTTAATATATCATTTGATGTCGTTTCATAGGCCTTTGCTTCTGATAGGCAACCACCCATTATGATTCAATAATTCATCATTTGCCTTGTTGACTAGTCAAGCTTTGAAACGTAAGACAACCCCTATCAAAATGATAAATTTTCTTTTGATAAGCTTGATAGAAGGATTATAAAATATAGGTAACTTTTCTCTGATTGAAAT